GAGAGAGAGAGAGAGAGAGAGAGAGAGAGAGAGAGAGAGAGAGAGAGAGACTCTCTCTCACACACACACACACACACACAACCTCCTGATCACTCGGAAACAGTCTGCCACAGTCATGTTTTTTTTGAGTGTATAGCGAATATGACAACAACAAAAAAAACAATAATAAAAAACCTGAGCAGTGTAACAACAACAGCCCCGCCCCCCTGTCCGTCCCTCTCCTCTGCCGCAGCGTGGCTGCGGTGCGTCCACTTGTTGCTATAAAAGAAAAGTAGTCCTTTTTTTTTTTTTTTCTTTCGTCCCTTCCCTTTTCCACCTTAACCACCAGTACATCTGAGCGTCTTTTATAGGAGGCGGATCCCCACTGCTGCGCCAAGCTTTGCCAAAACGCCAGCACAACGTTTTTGTTTTAATTTTGGCTGGCGCCGCCAGCCGTTTTGCTCGGGTTGCCCGGAGCCTCTGTTTTTTTTTTGGCGAGGCTCAATCGTGATTCTCAACATGGCTGGGCCCATGTACTGGTGGTTTAAGGTAAAGAGAAAGTGTAAAGCTGCATTTTTAGGGGAGGTTCTAAACCCTGAGTTTGATGTTTGGTCATGTTGCACCTTTTCTTTTGGGGTCAGGGTTTGGCGCTTGGCAGCACTGCGGAAGAGCGGAATGTGCCAGATGGTCTCATGACAATTTCTCTTCTTAAACACCAGGTGAGGTTTATAGGCATCATACATCTGACATTTTCAGTGCAATCCTGTTCGCTTTTCTTACTTTCTCCTTCTGAGCTTTGTTTTTTTTTTTTGGTTTATCCCTGTGTGCCCTCAGGCTCCTTGCTATCTAATGCACAAGGTGCGCGTGTGCTGAAAGGCAAATGGGGATGTATGTATCTGGAACTCGTAATAATGTCAAAACGTTCGTTACAACTATACAATGAACTCCCTGATGTCATTACCTGGTGCGTCATGGCGCCAGAAGACACCCAGATTGCTGGCCGGTAGCCAAAAATTTAGAACAGCCGGCAATCTGGGCAGATGTGTGGCTGATTTCGAAGTTTCGGTGGTCGCCCACGATTCTGGCCCTTCCTCCTTCGTCGCACGACCCAGATTCTCGGCCAGTCTTACGGTTTGGGTGATCAGCAGCGAATCTGACTGGTCGGCTGGCGCATGGCCCAAATCGTTTGCCAAAGCCAAGTTTGGGAAACCGGCCCACAGCCATCGATATGGGAGTCCACAAGGTGCAGTGCACTTGATTTGTGCCCATGGGAGAGTGTGCAAGCTGAGCAACAGGGTCGGAGGAGGAGAGAAAGGGGCCATGGATGGGTAAAGGGCATAGCAAGGGGCAATTGCGATTGATCTCAGCGCATGGGATGCATGGTAAGAGGCACAGGAGGGAGGCAAGGGGGCGGCAAGTGTGTGTGTGCGTGTGTCGGATGCAAGATGAAGGCGAGAAGGTGTGTGCGTGTGCGCACACACGAGAGAGAGAGAGAGAGAGAGAGAGAGAGAGAGAGAGAGAGAGAGAGAGAGAGAGAGAGAGAGAGAGAGAGAGAGAGAGAGAGAGGTTTTCTCCCCTGTTGCCTTGCATTTTTTTCCGTCTTTTGCTTTCCTCTTGGTCGCTATCATGCACTTTCGGTTATGAAGTGAAGAGAGAGGAGGGTGATGGAGGGGAAGATGATGCAGGAGGCATAGGCGGAGCTCTTAATTCTTTCTGAGTTGTGTACTCCTATTTCCCAGTATGCTGAGCAGGGGGAGGGGGGGGAGGAAATGGTTGGGGAGGGAGGAGGGGCACAGAGAGCATCACTGCCTTTTGGCCTCCCCTCTGACTTCTCTTTCCGCGACTATCGCATTCGGAGATTCTCTTTTCCTTTGGGAGTAAGATGTTGTGGAGAGCGTCTTGCCTTCTATCTCACCTTAACAAATGGAAGAAAAGAAACGTGGTACTCATCACGTAATGGGCTTTGGACAAGGTGCGGCATATGAGAGGTCACCTGTGGGACAAGGTCCCATGTGTGCCGACTCTTCATTCTGCCCATCCAGTGTCACCTGCAATGAATAGAAACAAGGAGTCTGTAGAAGTCGAACCTGGGCAGTGGCCAAGTGCACATGCATGTACTTATGCCTCCTTTTTTTTCCCCTGCAACAAGTCATTTTGTTATGTCGTCAGAGTGCTCCAGCTATGATGTATGCATCTCGGTGGAGAAGGCGTTGCTCTGGTCATTGTTTAAAGCACACACAAACACCACAGTGGATCACTGTGGAATTTATACATCCCATGATGATGCACACCCGTAGTCGCTTCATAGAATCCGGACTGCTCGATTGCTAAACTCGTATTATTACGGGTCGAAGGCTACATGACTGATGGTTTCGCCAGTGAGATGAGAGGTGGACGGCTACCGATCACTGAGTTGAGACGTCGAACTCTTCTGAACATAAGAACACAATAAAGAACGTTTCTGGATGCAGCTAGATGAATGAGATCAAACGTTTCTGGATGATCTGGGACCGGACAGCTCCACGATGATAGCGCAAGGCCCTCGCCCTTTTTGTTTAAGAAAATAAGAACATAAAGAACTCTCCTGCCTATCTTCCACTACACCAGCTGCATGCAGATGCTTCTGATATTTCTGGGTGAATATGATGTTGAGTTTTGACATTACTTGGCAGGAACTTGGTATCCAACAGGTTTGAACTCTCGACTCACTGGCGTACATCTGTGTCGCGTGTGTGCCATACAGCCCGAGGTTCAGGACCAGCCAAAGTTCAGCTGCCTTTGGTTTTGTGTTGCATGGCAGGACTTCCAACTCTTAATTCATTATTGACTGGAAGAGGGACTCATACGGTGCCCAGTTCTCTGCTCGAGATTCATGAAGTTTTAGCTGTTCGTGGCCAGATGTGACGTACTCACCATTTGTAAGCATGTGACTGCCTTATGGGAAAGAGAAGGCTCAGGAGAGCTATAAAGGGAGATAGCTCTCCTTGAAAGAAGTGGGGTCTGTCGGATTGTGGCCTGATTTCTTACAGCATTTGTGTGGGTGTTCGATTGTGCATGGCAGAGGTTAGCACTGGCCTGGATGGAAAAACGTGAGACGATGGAGCCATCAGGAGGAATACTTGCTGACGACCAGGTGGGTATTCTGGTTGCTGCCATCTATATAGAAGAAGAAGAGGATGAGGGGGAGGGGAAGAAGAAGAAGAAGAAGAAGAAGAAGAAGAAGAAGAAGAAGAAGAAGAAGAAGCAGCAGAAGAAGAAAAACGCGAGATGACCGAGACAGCATGGGAGTACTTGCTGACAACCAGGTGGGTATTCTGAAACGCGAGATGACCGAGACAGCATGGGAGTACTTGCTGACAACCAGGTGGGTATTCTGGTTGCTGCCATATATATCGTAGAATAGGAAGAGGAGAAGAAGAAGAAGAAGAAGAAGAAGAAGAAGAAGAAGAAGAAGAAGAAGAGGGGGGGGGGGGGGGGGGGGGGGGGGGGGGGGGGGGGGGGGGGGGGGGGGGGGGGGGGGGGGGGGGGGGGAGGGGGGGGGGGGGGAGGGAGGAGGAGGACGACGAAAGGGCAGGAGGGGAGGAGGAGGCGGAGGAAGAAGGAGAAGAAGAAACTGAAAGGAGGCGGCAAACGAGGAGAGGGGGAGGAGGAGAGGGGGGAGGAGGAGAGGAGGAGGAGGAGAGGAGGAGCAGAAGGTGGGGGTGGAGGGAGGAGGAGGACGACGAAAGGGCAGGAGGAGAGGAGGAGGAGGAGGCGAAGGGGTGGGTGGGGGGAGGAGGAGGAGGAAGAAGGAGAAGAAGAAACTGGAAGGAGGCGGCAAAGGAGGCGGAGAGCGGAGAAGGAGAGGAGGAATAAGACGAGAGGAGAGGATTTGTGTCTTTTTCCTCGTTGTCGTTTTATTTACACAGGTCGCTGGGTGATGCTTTTTGTCCACCTTTCTTTATTTACATGGTTTCCTCTCTGTTGGTGTTTGTGTGTCGTGTCGCTGTCTTAAGGGTCTCGGTAAAACAGTCAGTGTACTGGCTCTGATTCTGCGCACCAGGGATGGACACAATGTGCAAACGAACGGCCAGGAATTACCTCTCACGTCTGGTAAAATTGGAGCAGAAAATAAACTGGAGGTGATCAACCTGGACCAGCCAGCGGAGGTTCAGGATCAGAAACAGATTGTCAAGTCTCACTCGTCCAGAGTGGGAGTCCAGAAGGCTTGTCCCGGCCTGATGACAGTTAACCAGGAGCCTGCTGGAGCCTTGGTCTTGTACAATCCATTCTCATCATCATCTCCAGCTGCTCCAAGTTGCGTCAATGGGGAGAAGCCTAACAGTGCTAACACCATCAGATGTGCCAGTGGGGAGAAACCAAGTAGCATTTGTGCCACTGGGGAGAAACTGAGTGGCATTGCTTGTGTCAGTGTAGAGAAGCCGAGTACTGTCAGCACTGCATGGAAGGGTGGGCGGCCACAGGCCGGAACGTTAGTTGTCTGTCCGACGAGCGTCCTTCGGCAATGGCACGCAGAAGTGAGGGACAAAATTGCCAAGGCTGCTGGATTCCGAGTCCTTGTTTATTATGGTCAGCAAAGGAAGAAGTGTGCAGACAATCTTGCATGCTATGATGTGGTCTTGACGACATATGCGATCGTCTCTCAAGAGGTGCCGAAGCAGTTTGCAGAGAAGGAGAAGGAATCGAAACAGCGAGAAGGTGGCAAGGTCATGTATGAGAACTTCGATCTGTGCCCGTCGTTGCACGATGCTGTGTTGGGGAAGAAGACTGCCGGGCGAGGGACGTCGGAGCAAGGCAGCTTATGCAATGGGCAGGATAATGGAGCTGGTACAAAGAAGAGGAAGAAGGGGAAGAAGGGGTCTGCGGAAGAAGATGGGGAGGCACTCTCTACATACATTGGACCTCTGGCAAAAGTTGCCTGGTTCAGAGTTGTGTTAGATGAAGCGCAATGCATCAAAAATGCACGAACGCAGGTACACCAAGGACTGTTTGATAACCTCCCCCTCTACCACCCCGAAAGAAAAAAAAGGAAAGAAAGGGGGAAAGGGGGAAAGGGGGAAAGAGGGAACGGTTGACCATCGGTGGATTTGTATGATCTTTCTTTCAACTGGATGAATGGGAAAGAAGGGAGGGGAAGCCCTCTGGTGATCACGACCATACTTGCAACTGCACGTGTTCGACTTGTACTGTCGTGCACAATGTGGTGCGGGAGAAGTGGGTGTGGCACACACAAAAAGAGTTCAAAATCCAAAATGGAAAAAGAAATCGTTGTAAAGTTTAAACCTTTATAAATGCAAGGCATACGATTCTGAGGCAGTGTCTCATCCAAAAGGTGCTTAAAATAGTGTTTTACACCACTTATACATGTTCATGGGGAACTGCCTGGTGGACTGTAGGCAGAAAGCGCAAAAAGGACACGAAACGGGGGACTGTGACTGACTGTTTCGTTGGAGTTTCACCTTCTTGTCAAGACGCTGAACCCTACATACTTTTTGTTTTTTTTTTGCATTTTTGTGGTTTTGGAACTTGTGGCTTTATTTTGGGTACTGGTGCACAATATGCGTCGGTCATGTGCGGTGTGGCAGTGTGCCACACATACACAAATGCATGCATGCATGGGCTTGCAAGTATGATCACTACACTTGTGTAATCCTCATGTGGGGTCTAGGAGACAAGCAGGTTGTCATCTCATGCCCATGGAACCATCGACAATGGTGTGCTTTGTGACAACACAAAGACCTTACTGTTACACATAGGGACCTACATACAGGCCAGCATATGCACCACTGTATAGACCAACGTATAGACCAGCATATACACCACTTTATAGACCAACACATCTACTTAAATCTCCCAAAATTCCCCCAAATTAATAAAGATAAGGACATCGAAGAGGTTTAGTTTGCAAAAGACTATAAACAAAGATAGAGTAAATACGGGGTACATAATCTTGAAATAGTGGGTGCTCTCTCGTTGTGTCTCAAGAATTAGAATAGAATATAGAATAGAATAGAATAGAATAGAATAGAATAGAATAGAATAGTCAGCACGTATAGATAGACCCCCCATGTTGACCAACATGTAGACAGAGATATAGACTGATGTATAGCACGTAAAGGTAGACCCCCCATGTTGACCAACATATAGACAGAGATATAGACTGATGTATAGACAGACATTTGATCGATGCCCGACATGTGACGGATGTATTGATCAACATATAACACGGACCAATGTGCAAGCAACCATATAGTCCAACGTTGTATTCAAGTGGATGACCACAAACTGATGTGAAGGTCGAATTGTACAGCTTTGTAGACAAAATAGGCAGCCATGTTTTAATGCGCCCAATCCCGTTTGTTAAACCACCAGTTCGTCCGAGCTTTTTTCCACAGCGCTGCTGCTCAGTCCTAAAGAACTGAACCGTTGCGGCCACAATTTCGCCTGCCAACGTTTTCTGTCCGCTAGGCATGAACTGCAACTTTGCGGCACGCTAGAACAAAAGACCAGTGTGAAGGAGTTAGGTCCTATCAGAATGCACACTAATCTTTGTCTTAATCGTTTTTCAATTACGTGGGTGGCCTCACTTTGTTTACACCCTCTGCTTTGGCAGGTGCCATTTCCCGTCTTCTGCCTGATGCGAATCCATCAGGATTTGAACTGATTGTGTGAGCATTATCATGGGTGCACCATTCAGCTACGAGAGTGAACATTGTACATGCTGATGAAATATTGAGAGAGGTTCGCTTGTCCGGATTGTGTGGTTCCTGGACCGTAGATTACAAGGATCGATGGCCAGGAAGACAGAACACAGGCGAGTGGGATGCTGCCCCTGGCCGTAAGTTTGGCATGCCGGAACAGGTGTGGTTTAATATGAAGTGAAGTATACATGAAAAAACGCTGGTAGTGTTGTGATGGCTTAAGCTTGTGTGCATCTTTTCTTTTAATCCCAGTTGTGGGCCTTCTCATGTGGTCACAGCTGGTAGGCAGGAGGAGGCACATAACATCTCATTTCTGGTTATGGGCCTTCTTGTATGATGACAGTGGGAGGGGAGGAGTATATTCTTCTAGTCTTATAATTTTTTGACAGCTTGTCTGGTGACAGTAGTAGTAGTAGTAGTAGTAGTAGCAGCATTTTTGCGTTGCACTGCCCCGGTGCGCTATGCAGCCTGGTGCGGTGCGCGACATGCGCACATCCCCAGTGTGCGAGCATCCTGGCGCACCAGCCGCACCTGTGCGCACGCCCTGGTGCGCTGGTGGGGGGTGTGCTTCCCCTTGTGCGCACTTCCCCTGGCACGTGCGCCCGCTGCGCTCAAGTTTTTTTACGTTTTTTTTTTCCAGTGCAGGGGTGGATGCTGCAGCTCCAGAGCTTCGCCTGGAGTCCTCGTTTGTGGCCAATGCCTGGAGCCCTTGTTTGCGTTTGTCCCAGCCAGGCCGTCGTCCCTGAAGTGCCGTTTGAGCTGCTGGATGAGATGCCTTGCCGCCATGTCATCCTCCACATGAAAAGGACAAACGACAGTGCACAACTGGAATAATCCCTTTGATTCGTTGATCCCTCTCTAGAACCCTCCCCTCTAACCCACTTTCCCGCCCTCCATCCCACTTTCCCCGCGGACAATGGAGGATGGTGGTGCCACATGGAGGAGCGAGGACGTCTTGGGGGTCAAGTCCTGGGAGGATGGTAGTGCCACGTAAAGGGGGGGAGGACTAATATTGGAGGGAGGGTGACGCCGATGGCGATAGGTGGCAGTTGGAGGAGGAATGCCGACGGGAGGGTGGCCGGAGTCACATAAAAGAAGAAGGGAAAATGGCCGGAGTCACAAAAAAGAAAAAGGGAAAAAAAAAAGAGCAATGACGGGAACATGATGGAGAGAGGAGGACAACTATGACGAAGGAGGAGAACGAGGGAAGGAGGAGAACAACAATGGAAGGAGGAGGAGAGCAATGACGAAGTTGGGAGGAGAAGGAGAACGACAACGGAAGGAGGGGAAACAACGAGGAGGTGAATGATGACGGAGGGATGGGGAGAACGATGATGAAGTTGGGAGGAGGAGGAGGAGATCTACAACGAAGGAGGCAGGAGGAGGAGGCCGATGAGATGGCAGGGAGTTTGTGGGAGTTCACGAACTCGCTTTGTCATTGGCCTCCTCCTCCTCCTCCCTCCTTCATCGTCGATCTCCTCCTCCTCCTCTTGACTTCGTCATCGTTCTCCTGTCCAGGTCATGAAAAAAAAAAAAGGTGGAAAGACGAGGAAGGACTCTGAAGGAAAGTTGCAGGAAACATGGGATGGAGGAAGGATTTTGGAGAGCGGCTACAACGGAGGATAACTACAATGAAGGAGGCAGGAGGAGGAGGAGGAGGCCGATGAGATGGAAGAGAGTTTGTGGGAGTTCACAAACTCCCTTCGTCATCGGCCTCCTCCTCCTCCCTCCATCGTCGATATCCTCCTCCTCCTCTCGACTTCGTCATCGTTCTCCTGTCCAGGTCATGGAAAAAAAATTAAAATGGTGGAAAGACGAGGAAGGACTCTGAAGGAAAGTTGCAGGAAACACGTGATGGAGGAAAGATTTTTGAGAGCGGCTACAACGGAGGATAACTACGACGAGGGAGGAGTAGACCTGCAAAAAAGGAGGACGATGATGAAGTGGGGACGATGAGGAGAACGATGAGGAAGGAGGAAGCGAGGAGAAGGGAGGGGGGAGGAGGACGAGAACGAAGATAAAGGAGAGAAGGGGAGGAGGAGAACGATCGCAAAGGTGCTTGTATGAAGAAGAGAATGATGGTGGGGGAGGGATGATGAAGAGGAGAACGGTGACAAGGAGGAAGGAGGAGAACGATGGCCAGGGAGGGATAAAAAGGAGGAGAACCATGACAAGGAGGAAGCACGTCAAGGACAACGATGAAGATGGAGGTAGGGAGGAGGGGAGGGAGACAGAGAGAGAGAACGAGGAAGGAGGAAGTGAGGAGAAGGGAGGGGGGAGGAAGAGGACGAGAAGATAAAGGAGAGAAGGGGAGGAGGAGAATGATCGCAAAGGTGCTTGTATGAAGAAGAGAACGATGGTGGGGGAGGGATGACAAAGAGGAGAACCGTGACAAGGAGGAAGGAGGAGAACGATGGCCAGGGAGGGATGACAAGGAGGAGAACCGTGATGAGGAGGAAGCAGGTCAAGGACAACGATGACGAGGGAGGAAGGGAGGAGGGGAGGGAGACAGAGAGAGAGAGCGAGTGAGAGAGACAGGGAGAGGGGCAGTGGTCACCCACCTGATGTCCACACGCGCTCGCCCTGCTTCCTCCTGCTGCTCCTGCCGCCCGCTATCGTTGCCTGCCTCTGCAGCTGCTCCCTCTGGCTGTCCCTGCTCAATGCCACTGCCTGTTCCCCACTCTATGTCGGCAAAGATGGCGACAATGGTCAGGGCGAGCTCGAAAACAGTTGCGAAGGTGGCGACGACGGTCGAAGCCTCGAAGGTCAGGGCGAAAACGGTAAAAGGCGAATGCGTTTGGTGGCGGCGGGGGGGTCGGCTGTACGTTGGCGGACTCCGAGTAGAGGCCGGGGAACGTCCAACTTCGAATTCGAAGTGGGAGTTCGAAGTTGGAGATTCCCCTCGTGGCCCAATTTATTTTTTCCTCCACCGGTTGCTCATTTTTTGGGGGCCCTGGGCTGGAATTTCCACCACCACCCCCCAAACTTTTTTTTCTTTTGGCCCACCCCTATTTTTTAGATGTGCACTGCAGCCCGTGCGGGAACGCCGTGCACGCGACGCACCGCACACGTAGTAGTAGTAGTAGTAGTAGTAGTAGTGGTAGTCGTAGTAATAGTAGTAATAATAGTAGTAGTAGTGGTAGTCTACTGTACTACTGCTAGGAGTAGTAGTAGTAGTAGGTGGAAGTTTGAGTAATGTGCCCCATAGCTAAGCGAACGTTAGAGGAGTAGTGTGTTCTCGTACTCTACTTATTTCCATTGCAGCTGTGGGCCTTCTTGTGTGGTGACAACTGGGGGGCAGGAGGCGTATGTTCTCCTGTTCTTCTTATTCCTTGACATGCTATTTGTGTGAGTTTTGAAGTAGTAGGACAGCTGTCCCTCGAACCCAAGCTAAATAGAAGATCTGAATGATTGATATGGCAGGTGGCACGAGCGTGCTGGGGTCTGCGGGCCAAGAGGAGGTGGTGTCTGAGCGGAACTCCGATCCAGAACTCAATCGATGATCTGTACAGCTACTTCAGATTCATACGGTATTCGCCCTATGATGAATTTGCAACCTTCCGTACCATGATCAAGGAACCAATTTCCAGAAACCACGGCAACGAAGGCTATCGGTGCCTTCAGGTGTGCATTTCTCTTATGGATGCTATGCACACTTTCTCATCGCTTTGTTTTGTTGTCGAGTCCAGTGCTACTCCTGCAATTTCAATCTGTAATGTCTTTGAAGCTTTCTACAAAGTTCTCTCTCTCTCTCTCTCTCTCTCTCTCTCTCTCTCTCTCTCTCTCTCTCTCTCTCTCTCTCTCTCTCTCTCTCTCTCTC